TTCGTGATCACTTTCACTATCAGTGGCCGGGGTTTTGGATCGTGACCTGCCACGACCCTTAGGGATTGCATATGGCACACTGCCTGAACGTAGATAACGACGCCTAAAAGTATGTTTCACTGGTGAATAATGAACGTCACTATCACTAGACAAATCCTCAATTGGCATAAAATCAATCTCATCATCACTTACATCACTTTCACTATCACTACTAAAACACTGGGAAAATGATAGTTTCCTCTTGTGAAGTTGCCTATGGGTAACACTTGCCACTCCTGAGGTGCTTGGCCCAGGGTCTTGTGTGGCCACACTGGCTACCCCAGAGGTGCTTGGCCCTAGGACAGGTGTCGCTACCCCAGAGGTGATGGGCTGGGGGTCATCTGGGTTATCGTCGATATTTTCACTAATTCCTTGAATATTACTGGCCCCATTGGTGTCAGATCCACTAAACTCACGATCTCTATCACTTTCCTCGAATAGTAGTGTTAATACGACGAGGCGTGAGTGAATCACGAGGATGTGCCATGATGTTGAACCAGGATGGAGCTGAATGTAACTGGTCCTACCATGTGGTACCCAGGCGTCCCAGATTTTTTGTATAATGAGCACACCCATTCTCTCATGTCTAGGCGACTCAGGCCTATCACGCTAATTTTGAACAAATGAAAAATAAAACGTATATATACGTTTGGGGCGCTACGCGCGTGAACCTATATATACGTTTGGACCGTTTAAGGGTTAAAACTACAAATATTTTAATGAGTGAACTGTGTATGCATTTTATTGCTCTGGGACACTTTAATTAAATGTCATAGTATATTACTTGTGGTTGGGGTTGCCTGGCCTGGCTACAGTACCTACCACACCTGATTTCTTACAATAAATATTACTCTTCTCACCCTACATTAAGACTACAAATATTTTAAGGTCTGTAATGAGTGTACTAAGTGTATTTTACTTTATATTGTTTTTAATGCCTAGTTCTATTGCTAACTTAATATATGTTAGTGTAAACTTGTTAACTAGCATTTGTATGCATTTATAAGTGGAAAAAAAAGTGTTCCACTTGATGACGATTTCCACTTTACGGCAGTAGCCTGGAACCTAACCTGCCGTGTAAGTGGGGCCCTGCTTCTATTCTGTCAACTGAGTACAAGAAACCACCCATTCGCCTATTTCAGCTACCAAAAAAAAGTGGTCAGAAATTGACAGTTTGGCCAGTTTCACACAAATTTCAGATGATGACAGTTTCAAAATAGGGTCCAGAATATACAATGCAGATATTCCTGGCACTAAAAATAACATTGTCTTTGTTCATTAGTCATGTATCCAGGCCCCTCTTATATTACTTTTGCTTTCCATTTTGCATTTTTATTCACATAAAAACCAGAAGATTTACTGTTATACAAACTACTGCATTATTGTAATTCTATAAATGATGTCAACCCATTCATGGCTGCGTATTAGACTGGCCAGTTGGACACGTATTGGACGGTGACATCATTTGTTTCCTCTTGAACATCAGCAAAGAATTGAACGTTTCCGCTACTTAGAGCTCAATTTCAAGGTACTTTTTGTCGTGAAACCAATCAAGATCATGGATGTTTCTATAATATATTGTCCATTCTATCAAATAACATGAAAAAACAAGAATACAACCATAAAAAGCCATACGAAAATATACCGCTAATGGCTGAGAAGTAAACTCCGTTACTTATCGTCCGATTTCTTTCATTTTTGGCATATGATAAGAAGCATTTTTCCATCATGCATTGCCGAAGTTTCAATAAGATAGTCCAACAAACAACAAATGCAGTTACATAGATTATTATACGTAGCAGGATATGTGTAGAGATCCTAGGAAAACCCAAAAAAGTCAGACAAAGTGACTTATTTCCATTGGGGTCCTTTTATGGGGTTCTTTTATGTCTGTGAAATTCATTGCATTCCTATCATTATTAATGCTGCTGTGTTAAGATCTAAATGAATAACTTACGAGATAATCAGCGAAAACAAGTGAATATCATAGCCCTGTACTATTGTTTTCTCTTAACATAAAACCCCCAAGACAGGGATAGGAGGATGGTACTTTTATCCCATATCCTCTTAGTATTATTATTATTATTATTATTATTCATTCTGGAGTATTTGATAAATTAGACACATATGCAACACTTGGGTATCTTTATTGAGGAAACGTTTTGCCACACAGTGGCTTCATCAGTCCATACAAAGAAGAATGGTGAAGAACAGGAGGAGTATGAGGTAATCAGCCCCTCAGCCTTGAGTCGATGTGGTCAGTCCATCAATCTTGAAAAGAATACAGCATATCTGTGGAGAAGTAGCTTATATATTGTAGACAGGAGAGGTGCAGCAGTTAAAGGTGGTACCACATTTGTCCAGTGTGCAAGTAGGTCTTTTATCAACTTGCCGGTTCTCTGAATCATTTATCTACATTCTGGAGTATTTACCATGTTTTTGTTATTTATATTGTTTATTATGTCATATTAGATCAATTGTAATAGGTAAATAAGCCGTAGTGTTGATTCTTTCCCCCCTCCCCAACAAGTCGGCCGTCTCCCACCGAGGCAGGGTGACCCAAAAAGAAAATACTTTCATCATCATTCAACACTTTCACCTCGTACATAATCACTGTCTTTGCAGAAGTGCCGATATACAACAGTTTAGAAGCATATACAGGTCTCCCTCAACATTCGAGTTTCCCACTTTTGCAGGCTTCGAACTTTTGCGAATTCCCAGCCACCAAACCATATTTATGTTGAGGGCTTTGAAGGTGATGAACGACATTGATAGAGGCATGATTCTCTACAGAACTCTGTAGATATGAAGAAACGGTCTCAGTTGCCCATCAGTGTTCTTCACAAGGAAGCCTGCTACTTCAATCCCCATCCCTTTATCCAAGGTCCTATCGAAGCTAAAAACCTTGGGTAGTTTCACATTTAGGTTGGATAAATACATGAGTAAAAGGGGTTGGTTTTGAGTGGAACTTGCATGTGAGTATATGGAATTATCAAAGCTTATTGCTTGGGTAGCATTTATTCTTTTAATGAGTTGGATTTGTGAAGGACCTCCCAAGTATAGGCCAACAGGCCTACTGCAGATGCAGTTCAATGTAGATAAATGCAAGGTTCTGAAGCTCGGGAGTGTCCATAACCCTAGTACTTATCAGTTAAATAACATAGAACTTAGCCATACAGATTGCAAAAAGGACTTGGGGGTTATGGTAAGCAGCAACCTTAAACCAAGACAGCAGTGCCTAAGCATACGTAACAAAGCAAACAGATTACTGGGATTTATATCTAGAAGTGTAAGCAACAGAGGTCCAGCAGTTATTTTACAGCTTTATACATCATTAGTAAAGCCTCACCTAGATTACGCAGCTCAGTTCTGGTGTTCATATTACAGAATGGATATAAATTTGCTAGAAACATCCAGTGTAGAATGACGAAATTAATACATAGCATTAGAAATCTTCCGTACGAAGAACGATTGAAGACTCTTAAACTACATTCCCTTGTAAGAAAAAGAATGAGGGGAGACATGATCAAAGTGTATAAGTGGAAGATGGGTATTAACAAAGGGGATATAAATAAGGTTTTGAGGATATCCCTTCAAGAAAGAACCCACAATAATGGATTCAAATTCGATAAGTTTAGATTTCGAAAGGATATAGGGAAGTATTCGTTTGGAAATAGGGTAGTTGATGAGTGGAACAGTCTGCCTAGTAGGGTTATTGAAGCTAAAATGTTGGGTAGTTTCAAATTTAGGTTAGATAAATACATAAGTGAGAGGGGTTGGATTTGAGTGAGACTTGCATAATGAGTAAATAGAATCGTCAAAAATTGTTTCTTGGGTAGCATTGAAAATTGGGTTGGGCAAATATTCTGTTAGTGGGAAGGATTGTAAAGGACCTGCCTAGTATGGGCCATCAGGCCTGCTGCAGTGTTCCTTCTTTCTTATGTACTTATGTTAAGGAAGCAGTACAGTATTGTATTATAATTCCCTGCAATATATTAGGGCACCGAACATTCGCGAATTTTCAACATTCGCGAGGGTCTTGATCCCCTAACCCTCGTGAATGTTGAGGGAGACCTGTATAAAGATATATAACATATCCCTCCAAACTGCCAATATCCCAAACCCCTCCTTCAAAGTGCAGGCATTATACTTCCCATTTCCAGTACTCAAGTGTTGTTGTTAGTGTAAAAATAAAGCATATTCCCCCACATCATGACTCAGTAGCTCACAACAACCTACAGTGGCTTCAAAGACAATTTATCTTTTATGGACAGTGTACAGTGTAGATGCTTTACACAACGAGAAGCATTTCTTTTATTCATTGGAACCATGGCTAGAGCTAAGAGCGGTAATAAATAGTATAAAATACCAACACAGTGGAAATATAAACACTTAAGCAGCATAATGTGGTCTTTTATTGACAGCGTTTCTGTTTGTGACTTGATAAAGTCCACTGCATGGGCGAAACGTCAATAAACGATCACATTATATTGCGTAAGTGTTTATATTTCCAGGGCTAAGAGTGAGCAGGTTATAACAATAAATGAAGAAAAAGAAATTGAAATGATTTGTGCAGCAAGTAGCACCACCAAACAGTATCAGCAGGTTGGTATGGCGACCCTGGAAATTTGAAATTATGCTAGCCGTAATTAATGCCAGATTACTGATGGAACCGGATAACTGATTGCCAGATTAGTGATGACCGACCTGTACTAAGGTCCTTAAGGCTTTGAGCTTAGAATGAATATAAATGTCTTGGCATCAACATAATGATCATCTAGTATGGGGAATATTGTCATAAATTTGTTTCATTTTATTTTACAATAAATTACTTACCAAACTTTTGACATATAAATTTATAATCATGAAATAGTTAATGACACTGCAGTGCATGTCATGTTTACAGTAAAGTGCATGCAACATAAGAATATTTTATCAGTGTTTTGTCTAACATTTTGCAGGCCACCCCTCAGCTTGCATCAAAACGGAAGAGTTTGCACGGCAGAAAGCTACGTCCACAAAGTGTTGTAGGTAAGAATGCCTGAAAATGTTTAGATTGACAGTCTTGTTTAATTTCTATGTACCTTGCATTTTTTAGTGATATAAGCACGAGGGTAAAATCCTGCTTTAATAAATCATTTTCCCTGAAAACACAATTTTTTGTGCCTTTTAAACTTATCACGGTAAATTTTGCCTACTGTTGCTTTTGCATGATGGTTCTAAGCCTTAATCTTGCCAGCTATTGCATGCATTAATTTGCTAATACTGTATATACATTCAGTGCAGTTTCATTACTTGATGTGATTTTTGATGACTTTAGCTCTGCTTATGATTTCATCAAGGCTTGTAGATGGTTAATGAATTGATAGCATGAATCTAGATTCTTGAAGTATGTGCTTCATGAACTGACACTGTGTGGTCTGCATGTTTTAGTTTGCACTCCTCATATCCTTCCAGATTATGCAGAGGTTCATGCAGCCTTGAAACAAGTGTTGGTCAATCGTCATAGTGCAGACCATATTCTTAAAGAGGGGGTTAGTAGTGATAGTGTAGATATTATGAGACAGTCTACGAAAAGCCTTGATGTGCAAGAAAGGGAGTTGTGGATTGAGGACATGAAAGGATTCTTGCCTATCCCTCGATCTTCACTTCAGGTGTGCAGTGGAACGTCTGAGGAGTTTCTGCACAACTTTCTCACAGCAGAGGGTAGGTTTTGTTTTCCTTAGGATAAGAAATGTTAGTACTGTGCAGTATATGATAGAATTAAATATTTTTGTAAATATAGTTTATAGGCATGTGTCTTGAGTAAGCTAATACTGAAGACAGAAACTACACTGGATCTTTTTTATAGTATTTCAGCAGCATTTGTTTTTCAAAAATTTTACTTAGTTGGGGGATTTTATTACCAGAGATTATCTTCCTATCACCAATTACAGTTTATCATCAATGATAATTCTTTTATATATGTACAGGTACAACATGGATTTACTGGCAATGGAGTTTCTGACACCCCTTTTAGCCTGGACAAAATTGAGACCATTATTTTGCCAAATTAGTTTACCTGGCAACCATAGATGGCTTTTTTGGTAGTGCATACTCGTATTGCTTACACTGCAGTTGGTGGTGATGGTCCTTAGATTTTGTGCGTTTCTTAGTATATTTTGCTACACTTAATCCTCGCTAGGCTAATGATTAGCTTCTCAGCTCCAGTAAAATTCCAAGATTTACCTTTTTTTTGGGGAGTGACAGTACTGCAACATTCTTTGTAAATACAGTAATAAATAAACTTGTTTCCTTTATGCTAATGTTTAATTTAAATTTCCAGTAGTCCATGGTGGGTTTACGTTTTATTGTTGAATTGTTATTATGGGACCTCAACATACTGGCCATGCCAAGGAACCAAGGTTACCAGAAAATTGGTGTTGTATCTGTACTTTCACACAGCCTTTTCTGCCTTGTTTTTAATCTTTACCATTATTTTTTTTTTCAACCAGTTGGTTGTCTCCCACCGAAGCAAAGTGACCCAAAAAGAAAGAAAATCTACAAAAAGAAAATACATTCATTATCATTCAACACTTTCACCTCACTCATACATAATCACTGTCTAAAAGGATTTCTGTGGTCGATCCCACAACCTGTCCACTACAACTGTCAATATCCCAGACCCCTCCTTTAAAGTGCAGGCATTTTACTTTCCATTTCCAGGACTCAAGTCCAGCTAAATCTAAAGTAACTGGTTTTCCTGAATCCCTTCACTAAATATTACCCTGCTCACACTCCAACAGCTCGTCAAGTCCCAAAAACCATTTTCCTCCATGTACTCCTATCTAACACGCTCACACATGCATGCTGGAAGTCCAAGCCCCTCGCCCACGAAACTTTCTTTATCCCCTTCCACCAACTTTTTCGAGGACGACCCCTACCCCTCCTTCCTTCCCCTACAGATTTATATGCTCTCCAAGTCATTCTACTTAGATCCATTCTTTCTAAATGACCAAACCACCTCAACAGCCCCTCTTCAGCCCTCTGACTAATACTTTTATTAACTCAACACCTTCTCCTAATTTCCACACTCCAAATTTTCTGCATAATATTTACACCACACATTGCCCTTAGACAGGACATCTCCATTGCCTCCAACTGTCTCCTCGCGGCAGCATTTACAACCCAGCTTCACACCCATACAAGAGTGTTGGTACCACTATACTTTCATACATTCCCTTCTTTGCCGCCATAGATGACGTTTTTTGTCTCCACATATACCTCAATGCACCACTCGCCTTTTTTCCTTCATCAATTCTATGATTAACCTCATCCTTCATACATCCATCCGCTGACACGTCAACTCCCAAATATCTGAAAACATTCACTTCTTCCATACTCCTCCTCCTCCAATTTGATATCCAATTTTTCTTTTTCTAAATCATTTGATACCCTCATCACCTTACTCTATTCTATGTTCACTTTCAACTTTCTGCCTTTACACACACTCCCAAACTCGTCCACTAACCTTTGCAATTTTTCTTTAGTATCATCAGCAAAAAGTAACTGTCAATTCCCATTTTGTATTTGATTCCCCATAATTTAATCCCACCCCTCTCCTGAACACCCTAGCATTTACTTCCTTTACAACCCCATCTATAAATATATTAAACAACCATGGTGACATTACACATCCCTGTCTAAGACCTACTTTTACCGGGAAGTAGTCTCCCTCTCTTCTACACACCCTAACCTGAACCTCACTATCCTCATAAAACACTTTACAGCATTTAGTAACTTACTACCTATTCCATATACTTGCAACATCTGCCACATTGCTCCCCTATCCACTATCATATGCCTTTTCTAAATCCATAAATGCAATGAAAACTTCCCTACCTTTATCTAAATACTGTTCACATATATTCCTCTATAATTTTTACAATCTCTTTTGTCCTCCTTCCCTTTATATGAAGGAACTATACATGCTCTCTGCCAATCCCTAAGTACCTTCCCCTCTTTCATACATTTATTAACCCTTTGTTTCGGTCGTATATATACGTCTTAAGAGCCACTGTGTTTGACGTATATATACAGTGGACCCCCGGTTATCGGTCGCAATCCATTCCTGAAGGTCGGCTGATAACCGAAATGGCTGATAACCAAATTAATATTTCCCATGAGAATTAATGAAAATAAAATTAATTTGTTCCCAACAAAAATATTCACAAAAAAAAAAAATTTTTTTTTTACAATTATGTAAGAATTACATACCTTTATTGAAGGCTAATGCTGGCTTCTGGAAGATAGGGAGGAGGAAAGAGGGAGGAGTTAGTGTTTAGAAGGGGAATCCCCCACCATGAAGACTTTAGGTAGTAATACCTTCTCTAGGGGTTACTTCCCTTCTCTGTCTTTTAAGGCCACTAGAACTAGCTTGAGAGTCACTGGACCCATCTCACAAAATAAGTGTCAACAGTGCTCTGTTTCTGGCATCTTTAAGATTTCCCTGAAGTGGGACAGGGTTTTGTCACAAAACATGTTACAGATATGGCTTGTTTCTGCTTTGTCAGGGTGGTGTTTCTCTACAAAAGCTTGCACCCTGGTCCACATTGCATACACCTCTTTAATCTCTGAAGAAGGCACCTCCTTCACTCCCAATTCCTCCTCTGAAGCAAATTCCTCAGCTGCAGTCTGTTGCTGTTCAAGTTGAAGCTCTTGCAGCTCTTCAGTGGTAAGCTCTTCCCTGTGGTCCTCCACCAATTCTTCCACATCCTCACCACTCACCTCCAACCCCAGGGACTTCCCCAAAGACACAATAGAGTCCACAGGGTTGGCAGGGTCAGGGTCACGGTGAGTCTCAAACCCTTCAAAATCCCTCTCTTGGACACAATCTGCCACAGTTTTCTCCAAGCAGAGTTCGAAGTCCTGGAAGTCACTCCCTCCCAAGCTTTACCTATAAGGCTTATGCAATGGAGGATAGCGAAGTGATTCCTCCAGAACTGTCTTAGGGTTAACGGAGTGTCCGAGGTCACTTCAAAACACTTTTGAAACACTGCTTTTGTATAGAGTTTTTTGAAGTTTAAGAGAAAATGACCTGGCTGGTCCATGGGCTGGAGGAGAGGAGTGGTGTTAGGAGACAAGACCTTCACTTTTATAAAACTGAAGTCCTTAAACATTTGGTCTTCCAAGTCTGGAGGATGTGCAGGAGCATTGTCCAGTAACAGGAGGCACCTGAGTGGCAATTTCTTTTCCAGGAGGTATTTTTTCACACTTGGGCCAAGCACATCATTAACCCACTCTTCGAAAATTTGCCTTGTGACCCATACCACTTTCAAACTTTCGATCACTTCACACTTAAATTCCATGGTGTTTCTCACTTTCTTTACCACTGGAACTTGACTAGGAACTTTATTTGGAGCCATGGTTACTTATTTCACAGTTGCAGTGCAAGAAAAACCACTAAAAACAATGGTAAACAAGTGAAATGTTTGGATGTATGAGCAGAAGCAGCCTCAGCCACCGAGAGACAAAGCCAAACTGAAGCGCAGGCTGCCCCAGCCGGCGGATGGACGCATCCAAAACCTGCGCATAAACCAAGTTGGCTGATAAACAAACTGGCCAATAACCGGGGGTCCACTACACTCAAAAATTCTAGCGGCTTCAAATCAAGCAGGAGAAAGCTGGTAGGCCCACATGTGAGAGAATGGGTCTGTGTAGTCAGTGTGCATCATATAAAAAATATCCTTGCACACGCAGTGCATTAATGAGAAAAAAAAATTGTGAGTTTTTAGATTTTAACCGCTGACTTTGAGGTGTATTTTGTATAGTCTTTATGGTTTTACTTCTCGTTTTCGTAGAACGTTTCGATAGAATGGTAAAACATAGAAATATAGAGGTGATTTTTGATTGATAGTTTTTTGTATGGAAAAGTATGTGAAAATGGAGCTCAAAATTAGGGGAAAATGTTTGTTTTTGCCAAGGCAAGAGGTAAAACAAATAGATGTCATTATTATCCAATAAATGTCCAACTAGCCATTCTGTTATGCAGTCATGAATGGGTTGATATTATTTATACAATTATTACAATATTGCTGTAGTCTGTGTAACAGTAAATCTTCTATTTTTTATTTGAATAAAAATTCAAAATAGAATGCAAGAGTAATATCAAAGGGGCCTGGAGATGTGACTGATGAACAAAGAAAATGTTATTTTAGAACCAGGAATGTCTGCGTTGTTCATTTTGGACCCTATTTTGAAATTGGCATATTTTTTAATTTGTGTGAAATTGGCCAAATTGCCAATTTCTGACCACGTTATTGGGTAGTTGAAATCAGTAAATGGGCAGTTTCTTGTACTCAGTCAATAGAACAAATTGAGTTCTAAAGAAATAGTTAGGAGTTCGTTCGACTGGAACAATGGAATTAGTCGAAAATAGGGCTCAAAGTGGGCGAAATCACCAATTTGTAAATATCGCCGAGGTTGCTAACTTTGTTAGAGCGTAATTCCGTAAGTTTTCCATCAAATTTTGTACTTTTGGTGTCATTACCATCGGGGAAAAGATTCATAAGAAAAAAAAAATTTTTTTTTCTTTTCAAATACTTTGCAACACCAGGAGACACCCCAGGATTTGGGGTTTTGACAGTCAAAGGGTTAAACAAAAATACCAACCACTCTAACACTATATCCCCCCTGCTTTTAACATTTCTGTTATGATCCCATCAGTT